GAGAGCAGGCAGGCAGATGCCTAACTTCAAGTGCCTAAATCCTTTGGATAAAATAATTCAGAGAAAGGACAGAGAAACAACATAAAAAAGTCAATGTGATTTAAAAAAGTATAGCTAGCTCTGAAGTACCTACCTACCCTGAGATATTCTGCAGCACTGATCACCTTAGGCACTGTTCTTCATTACAAAACGTGAAGATGTTTGAACATAATTAAAAACGGAGTTAGCTGTCATGCCGCTGACCACAATCTGCCCTTGTCTGAGCCGATCCCAAAGTCAAGCTCAGCCTTAGGCCAGCCAGCCACGATTAAACCCCCGGCCCGCTGGGCTCGGGCTTGATTAGCTGCTCTGCGGTTGGCAGCGATTCGCCCTGCTCTGCCCCTCCAAAGTCACAGCCTCGTGTTTAACTCATTCGACTCTCCAAAATTTTTGGCCCGACGGCAGAAACACCTTGCAGCCCCGAGCGGGTCAAAGTTGCCATGAATATGGAGCATTTCCAGAAGGCACGTACCTGCGTGTTTTAGTGTGAAATTAAGCGATTTGTTAGGGGTGGAGGTCCTGATACTCGCTAGCCTACCCCTTCTGCCAGTAAAATACACCCTCCATAGCTGCAGAGACTTTGCTAGGAATAACTGACCACATCAGGCAAAAAGGAGGAGAGAGTTTTGCTCAGCAGACGTTAAACAATACAATTATGCACACTGGAAAGAGCTACGGGTAACACTCAGCAAGGTGTTGCAAATGTGGAATTCAAGCCTATGATCCACGGCTATTGCTAGCTTAAGCCACCTTCTCCGTTGTTAAATTTGATACAAACCCCTGTATTTTATTAATGTGAACTAACGATTAAGGCAACTCTTCCTTCAGTTTATTTATAGGTATCTTTAAAATCTCATAACCAGCACAACTTTTGACTTGCAGTATGATACTGCAAACATTATGGGCCATAATGACTGCGAAGGGTTTTTTTATGCATAGATACAAACACACACAGAGAAAAGAAATGACAAAAAACCAGATTCATTACAGTCTTTTAACTTCCCCAGGAGAATGTTACCGGTTATGTTCTCAGAACCCTAACTGTCCTATGAAAAATCTTACCCCAGAAGCAATCCCTATCCATCGAAGTGGAACTACATCCCTGGATTGAATCACTGCTAAGTATGACCAAAGGAATTTTGCTTCTACAGCTAGTTACAATAATTTCTTCACTTTTCTCTGTATTTGAAAACGGGAAGGAGAAATAAAGTTACATACAGTTTTAATTAGATAAATCTGATAGCTATTTATGTGCTTCAGATCTGCTAATTAGTAACACGTGTCTGAAAAATTACAGAAATTAAAAACACACCAATATTTAAAGCAAGGAAGTAAAGAAGTAAACAAATACATAAATAGCCACAAACAGTTGCCTTCACACTGGTGCTCGAGAAGGGTGGAAGCAACAAGCTCGAAGGAAGAATAAAGTCTCCTCAACTAAAAGACCAAATGAGCAAACCCCCGGCTTTCCAGCTCACAGCCCCCAGCTCCAGCAACAGCTGGGCTGGCGCAGAGCTCGCACGCCAGCTCAAAGGGTTTAGATCCGTCAGATCTCTCCCAAAATAAGAATATCTTTTTTGTTGTTGTTCCCACAGCTACAGCAAAGTGCAGATCTCCTTGTTCTCTAACAGGTTAAAGTTTAAAAAAAAAAAAAAGTTATCTTTTGAAAGATACAACTTTCGATAATTAGCTTAGCTTGGAATTGCAGGTCTTTTACTTTTTTTGTTTTCTAAAAGCCTGCTATAAAAACGTTTCCCCTTCTTGACCTCCTCTGCTGATCAAAATTTGGTAATTGCCATGTTGCTTCTGCCAGAAGGAGAAGCTGTTGATGAAGGTATTTCTTGGATGAAACTCTGTTCACCTATTAAGCATCGTACGTGTCCTTTTCCTTAAGCAAAGGAGGATATTTTCAAATAAAAGAAATCTGAAATAAATCTCTTATTTCTTATTAGAAACAATCCATGTTATGAAAAAGCGAGGACAAAAAGAGGCCGTTTTCATGTTAAAGTTAACGCCAACACAGCCATCCGTACGTGCACAGGTACGTACCCCTCCCATCACTGCGCTCTCTAGACCCTGCACGTGATTAACTTACACGAGAAGAAAATCCAGAATGACCTCGAATTATGCAGAAAGTTTTACGATAAAAATTTTTCATTAAATTAACTCTTGGTCATTTACTACCAAGAGGCCAGTTGTGGTTATTTCTCAAAACCAGCCAGCGTTGATCATCTCTCACTAATTAAAACTCCGCGCAAGCACCCTATGCATTTTGCCAGCTTCTGAGAACGAATTGCCCGCTTGTCTCAGCTGCTTCTGTGTTGCATTTTACAGTGAAATCTCTTTTAGGCAGGGATTTCTGTCACAGTCCTCACCATTATCAACTCGGATCTGACCGAGGTCTCCAGTCACAGAACACCATCAATATTAAGCAATAATCATGATAATAGTAATTCATATCAAGCATCTTCCATTTGCTTGGCCATCTCCGTTATGTTATTAAATTAATAGATCTGCCACCGCCAAAGAAAAATAGCGTAAAGAGAGAAATCTTATTAAACTAGAGATAAAATTTTAAACAATCCTGGGAACTGCCAAGGCCAGCCTTTGGGCTCTTCTGTGCACCGCTCAAATCCAGTTAGCAAACTATGAGGGTTATTTAGTTATTTGCTTTGATTTAATCAGTTTATGAATTATAAGTGTTTAATCAAATTAATTCTGAATGCTGCCAAGACAGAAGAAAAGCAAGAACATGATAAAAAACAGGTTGCAGAAATACAATATTCTGGGTTATTGAAGCCTTTTACAAGAGCGGGAGACTGCTTACAGCTCTTTACGACATTAGGAGGTTAGTTGTGCCTCAACCACAAATGCCACAGGAGTTGTACTGCAAAAGAATGGGGCAAAGGTATTTTGGGGCATGGTCTTTGAGACTGATTCTTCTGCTTGAAAAGGCTTTTATTCCTTAAGATTTAGTGAGTCTAGTTCATTTCTATACTTGTTGTTCCAAATTCCCTAGATGTAAATATTTAAACTCTATTCAAGCTTTATCAAGATTTGCTAGAATACATGGGTATCTGTATTTCCTATGTCCGTGTTACCTATAAGATACAGCCCAAAAGGGTCCCAAATGGTTCCACATCTCTCTCTCTCTCTGGTAAAGATCCCCATTTCATACACACGCCCTTGAAATACCTTTTTATGCAGTTATTACGTCACACATGGTGCCAGCTTAGAAGCTGATACTCTGCATCGCCAGAGGGACGCTTTAGAAGGTCTCAGATCTCCCTCTGCGCAGACGACGTGTTTTGGAGCGGAGGTAAAGGCAGACTCAGCTGCCCACGGCCACCCTTGCCTCCATCTACGGGCGATGGAGAAGTCGGTGCAGTTCTCCAGCACTCACACTTGGTCACGTAGAAGAGGACTGCGACACATTTCTTTTGCCTATCAGTTCAGCCAAACGCTCAGATTAACATGTAAATCCATCTTTGACCAATACGGCACTTATATCTGCAAATTAGCATCTCATCAAGACTTCCAACATTTAGTACTCTGTGATTAGGAACATACTGATGACCTCTGATGATAGGGGCAAGACTTACACAGCCCATCCTTTCTCTCCCATCTGTATAAACTACCTCCATCTGTAAGTACCAACAATGCAATAATACATCTCGGGGTAGGAGCATCCGCACACCATCCCATGCAGCATTGTACCCTGCAGCTTGTTTTCTATTTTGGTTCTAAGTACTTTAAATGTAAATGATCACCACAAAAGGTCACAAAACGTGATCAGCTGCTCTGTGACATTTTACCTTCACAATAAGCAAGAAAAGGTAAACGCAAAGGTTTGGAACAAGATGTGCCAAGACATCAATGCCCTTTGGGCACTACGTGTAAGAGGAATTTAAAAGTAACTGGAGCTGGGTGCATTTAAAAAAAAGAAAAATAAAAAAAAATCAGAATATACGTTTGATGTCATGAAAATGAGCAGTGGAAGAGAAAGATCAAACTGACAGGTACTCGGTGTTCCCAGCAAATCAGAGATTATATAAATGTTCCCTAAACTGCAGTTTGTCCTCCTCAGTGAGCCTAGGGCTCACTTGGTAGCTGTGCAAATGGAAATCTCCGAAGATCCAAGGGGACAGCCTGTCATGATGCTATGGGTGTGGTGTTTGTGCCTTTCTTTCACGCTCTGAAGTGTGAGCTTTTCCATGTCCCGATGGGCCTATCATTGAAATCAGCTACAGAACAAAAGCTTATGTAGTTCCAGTAAACAGAATGAATGAATAAAAATAAAATAAACAATCTCAAAATTTTTTCAGAATATATTCAGAAACAGCACCCAAAAAGTAGTAAGCATAATTAACACCTATTACGTACAATATTATATCATGAAATAATATCAACTGCTTCATCAGCGATATGGAAATGCTAGACTTTTTAAAGAAGGAAAGTAGCGGATTTAAGAGAAAGAAACGCACCTTTCAGAAGAAAACAGAAATGTATTTGCTGGAATGTATAAGCAAGATGACAACAGACCTACCTGCACGTGGTGCATATAACCTACCAATAAAGTATTTCTTTCCCACACCTCCTCTCCCCCAGGAACAGCTCTGCTTCTCATTACTCCCCGAGATTGTTCCATTCAATCAAAGTGCAGTTATGTTTATTGCAGATGTTAATCTGCAATCAGGAAACAGCTTCTGCTTGTTCACCTAAGTTTAAGTGACACTACTGTTGCTGAAGCCTCTTTGGAAAAATCACTGCTTCTCTCTAAAATATTTTTTTGGGGGTGTTTCAGTTCTAATTTTAACATGACCTCCCGGACAAATGGAGGGAGCCTTATGCGAGGGGCAGATTGGGTGTCTTTGTATACGAAAAAGCCACACAAAGCAGGGATAGCTACGCAAATACCCGTGATCGCAGGCCACAAGGTGCTGAGCGTGTGGCAGACTTACCCTGGAGTTAACCACTTCCAAGGAGACGTTCTGAGGCATCGCGCTGGGCACTGAAAGGGAAGAAAAGCAGAAAGAAATGGGAAATATGGCCATTAGTGGCTAAATCAGAATAGGTTACATCATGCATTTCTCGTTGGAAAGAGAAGTGTGCAGCTTTTACACCTAGTTTATAATCTGATCACAACCGTGCAGCTAATCCAGGTGGCACTTCAGAGGTCCCCTGGGGAGAGGAAAACCAAATGCATCTGTTCATTTCTTCCCATTTTTGACAGACCTATTAGTAAGCCCTTTAAACAGCCAGTCAGCGGGCTCCCTGCAGTGAGACCAACTACTTGAATTCAGTTATTTGTTACAAACTTGGCCAAAAATAAACAAGAACATGCCATAATTTCTCTGGCTTTTTTTCATTAAAGTGCATTTCAGAACGTATATTATATATAGACAGAGCAGGGTATTCCTTCCTCGGGGTCACCCTTTTTTACAAGGATGCCTAAGGGGAAGAAGAAAATATTTAAATATTATTTAAAAAATAATGTCTTACATTAAGGCTCTGCTTCTCCTACATATTATAATCCACACCTCATTTTATACCACTAAACTTTGTTATATCCATTCTGATAAACATACTTTAATCCTTAAATGGGACTAATAGCTGTTCAACACATGGTCTTACGAAGATGCCTCACGAGGCATTAATGAGATGGTCTGGCACCCGTAGCTGTAAATAAAACAAATGCTTCTGACTCAGGGCGGGGTTTCCATCATAAAATTCCTTTAATCTCGCACTCTCTCTGGCTATAGTCATAGGAAAAACCCGTATGGGGCAGTTTGATTTATCCCATCCATCCTGCCGGCTCCCTCCCTGTGAAGGATCGGGACACGGCGTGGATACGGGTGAACGCTCAGCATCTGCACGGCTGGACAGGCCATCAGCAACTAACCATTTACTGACAAATTTCTGCCTGTTCTCCGCTGCACCTCTGTATGTTTGTTTCCAATACACTTGTGCAACAATGGTTCAAATGTATATCCCTCCAGCTGATGGCAAATATTAATTCAACTGCCGAGAAGCCCAGAGCTTTAAAAATAAGTTCGTGAACCTAAAGCTTTATTTTCCTTTCAGAGAAATAATGCCTGCCTGCTAACCTGGGTTACTGAACTGTTGAAAAGCAGAGATGTTGTCTATGCTTAGGGGAAGGCGGCCCTGAATTTGGAAAGAGCGAGCTGGAAAAGGATAATGGTGAATACCCAATTTAAGAATAGTTTGCAATGCCACGTATCAGCGAAAATGGGAGAAAATGATTTTTCAGTGTATAAGCATGAATATATCAAGTCAAAGAAGAGTTGTTTAACATATTTTTATATGATATTGAGAACACTAGGGCAAAATCATTCTCGTTGCAGTTGTCCACACATTTGAATTGATTCAGCAAAGATCTACAAGAATGATCGAAGACCTGAAACATCTTAGAGACCAAATAAATTAATTTTATTTAAACAAGTGTAGTGTTAAGAAGTTCTTGGATTGTTATCTATTGTTATCTGAAAGGAAGGACTTCTGGCTGTAGCGAATAATTTAATAGGCAAAGAGCTACGAGCTGGAATCCACCTAGACTAGAAATCAGGCATTTTCCTCTCACCTTCTTCAGTCTTCACTGAAAATTGCTGTCTAGGAGTGTGGGACACACATCACCAAGCAAAATGTATACATAAGTATTTCTGTAAATTGCTTATTCTGGCCAAAACTTTCACCAGAATGAACTGGTGAAATTCTATGTACTGTAGAGAGACGGACATAATGGGGGCTATTGTCTATAGCGTCTCTATGTATTATCTCTCTCTATAGTCTGCATTGTCCATACAAGCTGCCAGCTGTGGCAGATGGAGACAATCAGTGCAGACTGGCTCAACATCAGCGCTCTGGAAGAGGCAGGCTGCATCGATAGTGAGGAGTCACCTCTGACCTTAACAGCTATGAATGTCTAACTAACGTAGTAGGCACTAACATGATAGAAACCACCCCTGTGCAGTCACTAAACGAAAGGATTGCGGTAAGTCATATAAATGATACTTTCCCCAGATTATTTAAAGCAGCGCTGGTCAGACAGCTCCTCCGCTGGACTCTGTCTAGTCACGTCTACGTTCAATAAACAAATCCCCAAGTGCAGCACTTGGTAGCATCCTCAGTGCATGCTGCTATTTAAGGATTTAAGTCAGTCAGAGGTAAGTCATTTGTCAGTGCTGGTAAGAAAACAGAATTTTAAACACAGGCTCCAAAAGGGCAAAAGTAAGAACAGCTGAACAGGAGGGTCCCACTGGCAGCAAAGTCCCACATCAGTATCGCTGTCCTTCATGAAAGCTCTGCAGATCATAAAAAGGAAAAAAGAACAAAGAAAAAAATTGCGTTTGAATCAAAATAATCTGAAAACTCAGATTGTTTGGCGGCAGAGGCACAGCAAAGCGAGTGCCAAGCAATACAGAAACTCTTCCTGGGGATCCCAAGTCACAGAGATTCGCTGCTGGAAAAGAAAGATCCAGGGGAAGCAACAGCCTGGCCAGCTGGGCGCTCCTGAAAATGGCAGCTGAGTCTCTGGACTGTTTTGCTAATCCTGCCACAGTTTGGTTTGAGGTACGTGCTCAAGGAATATATAAAACTAACCTGACGTCCTGCATTTTAACCACCCAGACCTGCCTCTCCATCAGAGCGGGCGGTCCAGGCTGGGGGACCCAAGCCCTGCTCTCGGCTCTGCCCCGACCGGCCGGGGCTCCACACACAAAGCCTTTCCCTGTTCAGTCTCTTTTTTTCTCTCTTCAGATTAGCAACTTTAGAAACAAGTTGGTTTCTCTAGTGCAGGGACTATTCTTTTTTTGTTTCCATACTGCCCACGACAATGCAATGTTGATCTAAGGCTTTGCTGCTGCAACTGGCAGCAGCAAACGGTATATGAAACGTTTCATCTCCCTTAATACAGAGGAGATGTCACTGCTCACACTCCCCTTATTTTGAAAAACATCAGACAGAAAACTGTCTCTGTGATGCACTTGGTATTGCAAGGAAAAAGAAAACTGAGGTATTTCTGGACATTTCTGAATTAGCTGATATCTCCCAGATATCTCGATATCTCCCAGAAAAGCCTGTTCTCGCTGGAGAATATTTGCTCATTTGTGAGCAAGTCAGAACTGCTCAGAGCCCCAGTTTCTCAAACACAATTTCTCTTTTCTCTCCCCTCTCTCGTGGTCAGCGAAAGCTCATCGCGACGTTTAACCATTCCCACCCTAAACCTTTCCCTCTCATTACTGACTTCCAAGTTTTATTGCTACTACATTTTCTTCCCCTACCAGACAAACTTCTCTTCATTTTTCTTTTGTTTTGTTTTTTTTTTTTCCTATTTGTTTGTCTTTCTATTATTTTGATTATTTCTCTTTGGTGAACGTTTGTCATATTTCCCAGTTTTGTTGCATACATGAACATAATTGATGCACCCCTTATCTTTTCTTCCAGATCTTCAGTCAAAACGAGAAATAAATCCAGACGTGACCCAGCATCAAACTCAATCACTTCCACAGCAATACTGGATGTCTCTATTCCTTGCTCGCTGTTCAGTCGAGGAGACGTTTTCCTTTACCAAACCAGAGACCCTGATTTAATATCTCGGCTTGCATAACAATCAGCGAGCTCCCCCCGCAAACCCAGTGCCTGCGAGATTACAATTACTTCCTCCAGCTTTATATCTTGATCAAATAAAGAAATTGGATGCACCTGGTAAAATTTCTCTTTTTTTTGTTTATTATTCACAGCTTAATTATACCATTAGAAATTAGAGCGGAACTCATTTTACCTAGCATTAGCTATGCAATAAGCAATGACAGATGCACCCGGGGATAACTCGGCCCCTTTGGCTGTCACGGGGTGTCTCAGCAGCGGAAGAAGCCTTGAACATACCGCAGGAGCCTCGCTGCCTGCCTTGGACCAGGTGTCTAAAGGTAGGCGAGATGAGCCTCGCTGCTGGAGACTGAGTGACAGGAGGAAGGTTCATATAGCGAGGCACTCAGGTTTGTTGTTCATTTTTTCTCCTCTTTTCTATCTGGTGAAATTAAAACCAAATATATTTTCAGTTGCCCATCAGATGAATCCATGTCCTTTGTGGTTTCGCTGGTTGGTTGCTGTTCTGTAGTTGTAGAGCAGAA